ATTATCAAAACGTTTTAGTAAAATATCTAAAATCGGTAGACCTGCGCTGACGTCACAAGTTCTAAGGGGGCATACAAATGCGATAGCTCCTTAGCATCTGAAAACTGCAAATTTGAAATTAAATATCTCAGAATCTAAGCTTTTCTCGATGTTGTGCGTGCCCAAAGCGGTAGGTAAGTGCAGGCCAGGGACCCCAATTTGGCTATCTCAACCCAAAATCAGGGTTTGGTGTTTGTATATTTGTTCATGAACAGTTCATGAACAATGTTTGTTTGTTTGTTTATTTGATAGTTAACGAATGTTGGCATTCAAGGTCACATGTTCACCAACGATTCTCTGTTCACGAACAGTTCATGAACGTTCATGAACGTTCATGAACAAGTCATCATTTCTGATAGGTCTTTCGAGCAATTATTATCATGCGGTGCGGTGTAGACACGACTGCAGGCATGTTTTACATGTGAAAAATGCACCAGTCATATCTCAAGCACATGGAATCGTGATTCATAATTATTATTGCAACGCTGAGGCTTAAATTGTGCATTTAAGACCTTGCATGACGTCATATAAGACCCCACTAAGGTTGTTTGGTGCAGTCGAAGCTTTTCGCTAATAACTTTCGATCAAATTGAGCTAGCGAGTCGGTTGAGCCATCAATTGACTCAGAAAGAGCTGCCACATCGAATGACATGCAGCATGACATCCTCCATGCAGCTTTGTGACCCGAGTGGCTTTGACATGACCTTGACCTGAGGTCAACATCCTAAAAAGACTTAATCAAAACAAAAGTATATCATTCGACGCGCCTGGCCACGACGAGCACGATGGTGCCATATTCGCGGCTCTGCCACCATTTGTGGCGAAGTTATTTACCAAAAACCAAACCCCTACTTTATGACACTTGACCTGACCTCAAGGGTCACCGGTTGGTGTAAGACCTTCAAATCCGATACCAATCGCTGTCGTTCGTAAAGACGCAGACGCTGGCTTTTTCCGCAAGTATCTATCTCAATTAGGAGCGAAATGGCTACGGAGGGGGTCTTACATATCTACCCCCTCTTTACCGTGTTCGCGAACAGTTCATGAACGTTCGCGAACTGTTCGTTGTTTGTTTACCAAAATTTGACCGATGACGTCACTTGTTCGCGAACACATTTGTTCGTGAACAGTTAGTTTATGTTTGTTTATTTAAAAAATCAAACAAACACCAAACCCTGCTCAAAACTAATGTTAGGGTGTGGTGGTCACTTAGAAGAGCTCTAACAGCTATGAGTATAATGAAACGACATAAGATTCAATAGTAGGTAACTGTCAGCGTTCAACGCTGCCTTCATATTGAGATCCACTGAAACCAAACTGGCCACTGTGGACTCATCCATAACCGTGTTGTATGCACATACGACTTTCCGGTGAGTTTTTGCTCCAGCAATTGAGGATTTTAGTTAATTTTTCTATCCTTAGTTAATGGCTATCTTAGAGTCAACTTCCACCGAGCTAAGAATTTAAATGCGAGCGACAGAAACCAATCGAACAAGGATTGCTTCTATGAGATTTTGATAAAGGTTTGTTCCGATACTTCTATCTTCCAGTCAGCAGGGGGGCATGTGAATGGTTCATACAAAAACAACAATAACAAAAAAGCAGTGGTGACGAATGCATTATATGCTCCAAATCAAACGGTACCATTTTCATCCCGTTTCATTGTTAGGTCTTGTGAAATGCAAACATTAGACCAAATCATATGCTAAGCTATATGGACTATTGCACTGACCGTGGCAGCATGCCAGTCATTCTTGCATATCAAACGCCTTCACGTTAACTCTTTGATCATACACGTAACTTCACCAGTGTTGCATTTGCATTATTGAAACGAAATGTCCTAGTTACAGCCATAGGGATTTGATTCTAGTAAACATTTCACCTGGCTCGATATACGGCCGTTTTGGGCTGCGTACAACTCACTGTCATGACGTGGCGCCTCATTCCGATTGGTAAGCTGCCAGCGGCACGTGCCACGTGACGTGAGTCGCACGTGGAACACGTGCCGGCGGCGGCCCAATCCCCGCAGGCCATGACGAGGCACGCCGCGCGGCACGGGACGGCTGACGGCCGTACCGCCGCGCTAATGTGCGTGGGACGGGTAAAGGGGAAGAGGAATGCGTGGAACGGGGAACGGGGAAACGGGACAGGGAAACGTTTGATGGACAGCGAGTGGGGAAACAGGGGAAAGGGCGCACTGGGTCGGTGGGACGGTTAATGGGAAATGGGAGATACTGGAGACAGGAAAAGGAGAGCGGGGAAATGGGAGACGGGGAAGGGAACATGCTTATGTGGGAAAGGGAACGAGGGAGTGAATGGGACGGGATGAGCAAATGTACGGCAACTTAATCCACTACGCAAGACAAAAACAGGGTACCGAGATGCGCACAAAAAACAAGAAGTGCATCAAAATGAACTTAACTGCGCAAAGTGTGTGAGAGCCAGCATAGCATACCTAAAAGAGGCTGAATGAAATAGCTCGCAAATAAACGTAGTCAGCTTTTGCGCCCATGACTTGCAGCACATGATGCGTATGTCTGTGCGCATTCGTTTGTGCCTTTCACGCGAGCGCCGTCACCTGTTTGTGTGTATTCACGCGCTCCGGAGCCCCGTTGACGTTTACCTGTAGTCTACTCTGCGCTGTGTACTTGAGAAGATAGCCAGTCCCCGGCTCTCGATACGGCGCCGCTGGCCCGGCGATGCGCCCTTTTCTCAAACAACGGCCGCCTATCGGAGAGGAATGGAATGCGCCGGTGCGCGCGGTACCCTTTGAAGGCGGCTGCAGGCGTGCGCCGGTGCCGCGGCCGGTGCCTGCTGATGTGACCGGAGCGGCTAGCTGACACCAGACTCTCCCGCTCACACTGCCGTCACCGGCTTGAGGAAAGATGTGGTGATGCGCCTCTGGTGACGTCGTCTAACTGACGTCATACTGGTAATCACTGTTTCCAGACAGGGGACCAAACTGGACAGCAATGTACCTTGTTCTGCTCTGAGCCGTTCTGCAAAGTAAGCACGGTCCTATAAGGAATGTGCTGGCGGTATGAGCATTCTGCGATACTCTGGCGTTCCTGCGGGTTCAAGTACCTACTGCTTCTTTGGTCACAGGTCCGGAAAAAAACTTGAAGCTAATTTAGCTATTTAAGCAAGCTGAGAGTTATTATAGAGGCGCTTCACTTCCCTCTAACTACCTTGCTCGTCAGTTCGCCGTTCCCTGTTCCCTGCCAGCCGGCACCGAGTTCCTCACAGCATCATCCCGGTCAGGTGCTGGCTGGCCAGCACCAATCGTCGGCCATTCCTCCCGGTCCGCGGCGCGCCTGGCGCGTCTGAGACGGCATGACTGTGCTGCTGCTGCTGGCCAAGTGGCCCTCTCTGGCGGGCCCACACCGGCACATAATGAGAGGCCGGCGCCGGTCAGCCGGTCACAGCCCGCGCACGCCAGCTGACGCCGCTACAACCGCGGCGCAGAGGCGACAAATGTGCGCCAATCGTCGGTCCAGAACGGGTGGGCGGTGCAGCACGGCCATCTGCCGACCGAGCTGTCGACAACTGCTGACATACGGCGACGAACAGACCTGTCAACAGCTGCTGACACACGGCACAGAACAAAACCGTCAACAGCCGCTTCGGACCGCGGGAGATGTGGTGCAGAGGCTCGATGACAGGCCGAGAAAACAATTATCTGTCCACGGAACATGCAGGCATTTCACAGGTGTAGGCTGCGAGCAGCCGCATTTTTTGTGCACTTCTTGTGCACGAAAGTTTGGACTTTTAGGTTTGGAATGGAGCAACCTTATTCGAGTGTTGGTACTCGGCTCACATAGAAATATCTCCTTCGTCTTTCACCTTTGATGTAAATCGGATCACATTTCTGCTCTCACGCTTGAAGCAGCCGTATTGTCAAGATCACTTCACTGCTCATATTCCGCATCTCCCCTCTCTGTTTCCCCTCCAGCGTTCCCAGCGTTGGTAAACGGTGGCTCTGGAGCCACGCGCCACCCCATCAGCCGGAGACCATCAGCGCATGCGGTATCACGGCCGCCCCGTCGGCGGCCACTTGTCGCAGTGTGATACGGACGCAGATAGCGGGGTGCCCGCGCTCCCTCGGCACAGACACCCCGGCGCGGCGGCCAATCATAATCAAATCCACCGGCCGCGCCTATCGCTGTTATCTCAATATGTTGTGCCGCCTGCGGGGGCTGCTGGCCGGGCCTGTGCTCTGTGCCCCCCTCCCCTGACAGCTATGATGCCCGGCTGGATATGGTCCACGGAGCACACGCCTTGGCCACCCGGCTAATCCGAACGGGCGCGACACGCGGCCGGCGTCATTGAAAGCCGGGCCCTAATGAAGCGCGAGCCCCCCGCCGGCCCGGGTGGCCCCCGCCCACTGATCACGTCCCCCGGGACAGCAGCCACGCGTAATCTGTTTTAAAACTGAGAACCCCGCTTGGAGAGTCACCAAAGCAGAACTGGTTCATTGAGTGAGGCGCGGGCGTGTCAGGTGTCCTGGGAGCGGGTCGGGCGCGGGGCCGGGACACTGGGGATGCGTCTGGTGTCTGGGGGAGGGTCTGGTGGTATCGACCGACCCGGATAGGCCGACCCCTGGGAGCTGCACTGACAGACCGCCGCCACCGGTAGCCCCCGGGACACTCAGGGGGAGACAGGTCAACAGGGGAAACACACCAGCTGGTGCAGAGGCTTACATAATGGGCAAACGTGTTCATCTGCTGAATCACTAGAGGACCAAGCCACGGTAACAATCAGTGACCATAAATCACACAATCAGTGGTGGTACTAGTCGAGTATCTTCCTGCTTACATGGACTCATTTTCTCGAGGTAGAAGTGAGGCTGTCAAAAAGTAAATTGAGCCCCGCACCCCCTCCAAACAAATCCCGAATATTCCCCTAAACGAGCGGCAGAATTACAGCTGACATGCACGGAGAATGCGCTTCTCACCACCCACCTGAGGACTTTGGCGTGGCCGCCTCCTGCTTGAGGTCCAACGCCGCCACCTTGGTGTTATTGTTGTTGTTTTCGCACAGTTTGTCCGTCTGGTGGTCGTCCTTGCAGAAGAGGCCATGCTCGGTGAGCGCGAACTCGTCACCAGGCACCAGCTGCCTCTCACACAGCGCACATCGAAAACACTCCACGTGGTAGATTTTGTCCTTCGCGCGCATCACAAAGTCCGTCTTTCGAAACCCATCACCGCACTTTTCACACTTGGTTCCGAACAGCCTGAAACGAAACAAATCAGTCGTCAAAGAAGCATTTGTTCGTGACAAAATCGCAAAACGAAAAATAGCTTTTAAGGCCTGGCTTTGAAAAAGAACAAATATTTCCTCCCACGGTTTAAAGTATAGTTAATAATTTAAGTCGGCTGGCACCGAAAACTTTTGAATACTTTGACGAATTGAGCGTATTGAGTGGCGGTTGTGTCGACAGACCCGGCGCACGGGCAATTTACCAATGAAACACGAAGGAAATAACTGTCATTAAAACGTGTTGTGGACAGTAGCTGTCATCATCAGGCCTCAACTGTCTGTGGCTTGCCTCAATAGCTGTTGTTTCATTCCTCCTTGTTTTGCCCACCGCACGCCCTCATTTCGGTGAAACAGCATTTCGGGATTGTCTGCACCAACTTTGCTTTTAGTGGTGCGCCGAATTCTGCGACCAAAGTTTGGGCTATTGATTTCACATTGTTCCAGGGGAAGATTGCTGTCGTCGACCAAATTGCCTTGCAATGCGGCCCGTGAGGCTAATTATCGTGCATAGTACGAGGACGTGCTTTCAAACGTCACATAACCATGCATAATATTGCTTTAGCATTTCCACCGTCATTCTTTGGTAATGCTCTTAGTCCTGGCTCGATGAAGAACGTTTTTGCCGGCCATGCAGAAGAGGGAGCACATTTTCTTGTTATGTAGTTAGGTTCTGACAGCACTTGCATGGTATAATTAATGATTGCATGTAATTGCGTGTATATAGCTATTTTCATTGTAATGCGCACCCACAAACAGTTTTTTCCTCAAACAATTACTTAGCACCGGAATAAGGAAACAGATAATTGTGAGAAGCCCCGTCAGACTACTTGTAGTGACAGTGGGTTGATTCACGTTGACGTCCTTTATTAGTCCTTTAGGATATAGTTAATTCGCTCATGTCGTCTCGACCAGAGTTGCCGCCACCGTCACGGCGCCACCGTCATTATCACGGTCACTATCGCCGTCACTGTACCGCCACCACCACCGTCCACCGTCACTGTCATTATCACTGTCACTATCACTGTCACCGCCACCGCCACCGTCACTGTCACCCTGTCACCACCTCTGTCATTGTCACTGTCACCCTCACTGTCACTGTCACTGTCACTGTCACTGTTATTATCGCTGTCACCGTCACCGCCACCGTCACTGTCACCCTGTCACCACCTCTGTCATTAACCCGGTTTACATAGCATATTTGACGAGGCTCTAGCTCGTTAATTTGGCGATAATTTCGTTGCAGTGGTCTTCAAATATTTAGAGTTGATCATTTTGTAAATTGTTAAGCACCATTGGCATCTTTTGCAACATCACGGACGGAGATATAAGCTTGCAACAAACCCTATGTAAACGCGTCTATTGTCACTGTCACCCTCACTGTCACCGCCACACCGCCACCGTTTCCGTCACCACATTCATCGCCACCGCCCCAATTTACATTGGCTCGAGCATGCGACAGAGCGTAACCAACTTTTTACGTGTGACCATATCACAAGTTGGCACAATGTAGCTCGCGTGTGAGCTGGAGCGCAGGTCAAAACCGTGACCGCGCAGCCCTCCCCGTGACGTTTGGCGGCCGGTGCGCCTGCCAGCCACAATTAAACATTAATGACGGGCGGTAATTTGAGCGGTGATTGCTCGCCCGACACCGCTTTTTGTGTCGCTCGCTGCTGACGGCTGCATGTTGAATCAGATGTGCCGGTCCGATAGGGCGCTATCAGCCGAGTGGGGACCAAAATGAGCCGTCTGTGCCGGCCCGAGCGGCGAATAACGCCGCCACTGTTCTCGCCACTGTAGTCAAACAGCGCTTGTCGCTTCAGCGGACCCCGGGAAACACGGAAACACGGAACGGTCAAAGTCTGACGGACGGACGATCATGTGATCGGAGGTCATGGCAGGACAGGGAGTACTGGGTTATCTCGGTCTCTGTCTGGCTGTCTCTCTCTCTCTCTCTCTCTCTCTCTCTCTCTCTCTCTCTCTCTCTCTCTCTCTCTCTCTCTCTCTCTCTCTCTCTCTCTCTCTCTCTCTCTCACTCTCTCTCTCTCACTCTCTCTCTCTCTCTCTCTCTCTCTCTCTCTCTCTTTCTCTCTCTCTCTCTCTCTCTCTCTCTCTCTCTCTCTCTCTCTCTCTCTCTTTATGCCTGTCTGCCTGTCTGTCCCTCTTCCTCCCTCTCTCGTCTCCTTTTTATTTTTCTGAGCTCGTTAATCATCTAGCTCATTTAACAATACCTTCCACTTTCATGTCATTGCATTTCATCACCTCAGGTGTGCATTCAAAGCTAAATATTATTATCTCCTACAGGTAAAAGCTAAGCCGTCCAGTAACCTCCACTGATATGCTGTTTTGCCGTGAACCCACCTGACGTAGTCGCTCTTGCAGTAGGTCTTGCTGTCCCGGACGAAGCAGGTACACGTTTCGTCCAAGAACTGGTTGCACTCGGCGCAACGGAGGCAGGCGGCGTGCCACTCGAGGTCCGGGGAGACCCGCAAGATGTACTGATCGTGGATGGCGCCGCCGCAGCCGGCGCAGTGTGACGTTTTCTTTCCTGTCGAACAGAAACCAAAAGACGGTCAGACAGGCATCAGACAACACGGAGTGCATTGAGGCAGGATTCTGTTGCAACAACGAGATGTTTTCCTACTTGAAAATGTTCAATAAGATCAGCATAGCTGAACACACGATCTTTGGTGCTGACTGCTGAGGAAATGTTCGTGTGTGGACTGTGGAGTGTCGAAAATTGTTGTCCATCAGGAATCAGGAATGTTTGATCAGGGCAGAGCGACGACGCCCCTCAGCCTGACTCTGCACGATTTTGGACGTCATGGCGTGTTTCCAGATTGGCTCATGGCTGTCCAAAATAAACCGCTGCCAGAGCACGCAAGCACGTTCTCCATTGATCAAAATCTACGCCTACATAAATAAATCATAAAGCGTGCCAGCTATGAATATTTACATCCATAAACTGATTACCGTTTCCGCACTATCTCACATAATCCATGCGCATTTTCTGCAGCACTGCAGGCGTTATCCGTGAGTGGGCGCCCAAACTAGATGTCGTAGAGTTCGGAACTAGGCGCATCACTCCCAATATTGGCCGCTAATCTTCCCCGATCTGAGAGAGCAGGACAGCGGGGGAACCAGCGGGTAATAGCGGGGATTGGCAGCGGCTCAGCGGAGGGAGTAGTCAGTCGATAACATCTTATCTTGTCCGAGTTCACCTGGCATATGTCGCCTCCCCTCTCCAGCCAGCTGTTCGGAGATCAGGGCAAGATCACGCCACTTTTTAGCCGCCGTGCCATGACGGATGTTCGCAGCCAGGGCCGCTGTTTTTCGCATGAGTGAAAACGTGTGTCTAGAGGAGGATGGAGGTGAGATGGATTAGCCGCCGCTAAGGTGTTTGGTAGGATTTGATTCGTCTCGAACACCTGTTCATGTCGATTCTCTTCTGACGTTCGCCGCCGTCATCGTTACGGTGCATCTTTCGGCACAAAGTTTATCTGCTTTACTGGATGTCAACATCGTTTCTTCTCCTGAGTCTGAGTCTGCATCTGCGTGTGCTTCAGGCTCTCCAACTTTGTGCCAGTTTCTAGCACTGTCTTCGTCTGACGTCCCTATTCCTTCATCCCTATCCTCCACCCCTATCCAGTCCCAGTCCTGTCCTGCTTCCCCCTTCTTGTCTTATCCCCTCCCGTCCCACCCACCCTGCCTCTCCATCATATCATCTCGACAGTATGCCTCTTCAAAGTTCAAACTGACGTGCACTTTGCCATCCCCTTTTAAGTCCGCGGTGGCGTCCAATCACTAATTTCAGACCGTCCAGGTCAGGGGTTTTATAAATCGAGCATGCTGCACCAGCACATCGCCGGGGTCTCACCAACTGACTACGGGCCGGGCTCATCCTGTGCTTCTTTATCCATACATTGCTGCCATGCCTCGTTTCATTCCATATCACTGTCTGCCGCGTCTTGTATAATGCCACAAAAATGTTCACATACCCAGCCCTTTTTCATTCTAAACCTCCCATTTGTTCTGCATTTTCTAAGTCGTCGCTTTCTCTCTTTGGTCATTTCCTATCCCGCATCATTTTTTTCTCTATAGCATATCCCACCATATATCCTGGTTCACCCTTCATCTCAACCCATTCACGAAACTTCAATTATCACTTGTCTCCTTGTGTCAACAGATGCCCTGTCCCGTCCCATGAGGTCATAAGAGGTCAGCAGAATTCACCAGAGGTCAGCTGAAGCAGGGGTCACATCACGGTCACGACCCTGAGCGCCGTCCGCTCGTCAGATGTTCCACCGTGATAACGCACACGAGAGACAGGAAGGCGGCGATTATTTCCCAGTGAAAACGGTGTGCGCTAACAATTACTGTGACGCGATGTAACAGCTGGCTGATTCTGAGACAACACCGGCCACCGAACAACGGGCCGCACTTGAGCCGTTCATAATCGGGCGTATTAGGACGTCATTGAAAAGGTGGAAGGAAAGGCGTGATTGTAGTGTGTGTGTGTGGGGGGGGGGGGGGGGAGAGACTCTGCGGACAAGAAACGAAAGAGAACGAGATGTTGAACATGTTTCTGATTTTTAAATCTGTATATCTTTGATAGCCCGTGGAGTGCCTAAGGCTCAAAAACGCAATCGAAACATGGCCCATCTATGACAGAACAGAACTTTGGTCTCATTGTGACAGTCTTTTCATGAATAACCCAACGAACGCTTTCATTAGGATGTTTTCAGAGCAAAACAATGAGTTAAAATCCCAAGTATTTCCAGGTTTGAGTGTGTGCAATCTTCAGTATTTTTAGTTGTAAATCGTTTGTAAAATGCTTTTAGAATTTAATATGAATGAAAAATGTGTTATTTATCATGAGTGATAAAAATGGTAATTCCCATCCATGGTTAGAGGTACCAGTTGTACGGCATGTTATTGAAAGAAGGAAATGGGTGATGCAGCGATTATTTGAAAATTTATTGTTCGCCAAAGAAAGTCGCACTAATCTTCGGCTAATATCTGTCGGTTTATATCTGTAAGCCCTTTCTAACGAACGTAGAAGCCTCAAACAAAGTGAGTGTGTGCATGTTGAGGGGAGGCAGCACCCTTCTGGTCTTACTTTGTGAGAAACGCTACACACCTATGACCTATGTATGTATGTACTACTAAGGACACACGTCTTCGCATTGTTGTTGTCATGATTCTTAGCGGTATCTCCTCAATCATAAAATTTAATTTCATGGAATGTTGAGACTTTTGGTAAAAGTGATGAACACAAGTTTCGCAACTTATATAGCTAAATTTACTCAAGGCCTTAGTTGCCTCAGCCACACTTCCCGGCTTCTACTTCTACACCAATGTCTCCTCAGTCCCAACCGTGGGTCATTAAGCTTCTTCAGATGATCCGTCAAATGAGTTTGTAGTTTTTTCCAAGCATTTAAACATTCAGAAGAGAGAAAATTATCAGATGTCGTTTAACTGATTTGTTAAATGTCTAGTGACGATTAGCAAACTGTTAAACATCTAGTAGACATTCCTGCCATATTACTGTCACGTTATTTTCACCAGTATGCGCAGGGAAACGCAATGAAACATCATTTTCCTTTTCTTTTTTAGTTTCTTTTTTGGACTTCATCTTCAATGTACCTGTCAATTTCAGACCGATCACATTGTTTGGACCGTTTTTCAAAGCTTCATCTGTCTCTGCTTCTTGTTGTCTCAGACTCTGCTGATATATGTCGTATTTTTATATAAAATGTATTTTTTTACCTTCAAGATCCCGAAAGATATCGGCGGTACGGGATAAAATTATCAAACCGCTCGTAGGTATATTTTTTTACACGTCTCGCCTTTCGGCTCGACGTTCAAAAGATTTGTTCTACCTACTCGCGGTTTAATATATAAGAAATGTCTATGTTTAACTGATAAAGACAGTTACAAGTGTTATTCAAAAAACATGTTCTCTAAATTAAGCAATGCACTAAAAATGTGCAATTCACTTCTCCACAAACTGCGGAATGTGCATATTTGCTTACTAGTTCACTTTACCAGCAGATAATCAGGACCACGTCACCGACATACAACAAAAGAAAAGTCTCTTTTGCTCCATCCGTGTAAAATATTCACTTGGGATTTTCCTTCTAAGTTTCCTTTTCATCCTCTTTAGAAAATAATTTATGGACTGTATGGACAACCTTTCATCGTCTTTGAGAATGCTCCCAGCAACCAAGATATTTTAAAAGTCTTTTGAAGGTATGCCTATATGTAATGTGTTGGTCATAACCCTTATCCCGCACCGTAGAGAGTGGTTACAATTGCTTCACATGCAAAGAGAGAGAATTATCAGATGTCGTTTAACTGATTTTTTAAACGTCTAGTGACAATTAGCAAGCTGTTAAACGTCTAGTAGACATTTCTGCCCTTTTACCGTCTCGTTATTTTCACCAGTATGCGGATGGAAACGCAATGAAACATAATTTTCCTTTTCGTTTTTTAGTTGTATTTGGGACTTGATCTTCAATGAACCTGTCAATTTCAGACCGATCACATTGTTTGGACCGTTTTTCAAAGATTCATCTGTCTCTGCTTCTCTTTGTCTCTGGCTCTGCTGAGGTAGGTATATCGCATTTTTATATAAAATGTATTTTTTACTTTTAAGCTCCCGAAAGATATCGGCGGTACCGGATAGAATTATTAAACCGCTCGTAGGTAGAAAAATCTTTTAATCGTCTCGCCTTAAAACCCTCGTCCGCACATGGGGGGGGGGGGGGTTGCCACCCCCCAGCAGTACTTCTGCTCTGCATGCACTCAACATTTTTAGAGATAGAAGCCTGATTTTTCGTACAGCTGCTCCTCTATCCTTTCTTGATGTCCACCGAAAACTTCAAGATTCTGTGGGTTTTGGTTTCGGAGATATGACCTTATTTTTCAGGTCATGTCATGACCCAAATGACCAATTCTCAACACCTTGCGTTGGCTATGGGCCTTGTGAGCTTTTGACACCTTGATTTCGGCCTTTTTTTGCCAGTCTTACCTCCCACCTATCATGGAACATGTTGTTCGACGATGTACAGATGTCAAGGTCAGGGTCAATGTCAACCTAGGTCATCTAAAATAATTGCGTTTTAGGCAAGCTGAAATTACTTTTCGTGAAGTTTTTTGACTGCATTTTTGGTAAAAGCTTCTCAGATCATGATTTCATTAATGTAATATGGACACATAAACAATTGGTGCACACATCAGTATACACACAGACACACACAGACATACAAACACATATCATTGACCTTGACCTAACTTGACCTGAAATGACCTCAGCAGCAAAAACCTGGTCGGGTAGTGTGACAAAGAGGTTCTAGCTGGCTTGGCACCAGAAAACGGCATCGTCATCGGTATATGATAAGCAGCGCACTTGATATCCAACGGTGACCCAAAACAGCAACTTTTTTTGTTTGACCTAACCTGGAAGGTCAATGACTGACCTGAGAAGGTAAAACTGGGTATCATTGGATTTGTCTCTTCCCAAAGAATCTTTTTGGTCTTTACCGCGAAGCTCTATCTCCAACAGGAACGAAATGGCGCGGGAGGAGGTGGCAACCCCCCCCCCCCCATGTGCGTTCTAGGATGGGAAAATGGCATGTGCGTACGAGGGTTAACATTAGTTTTCAGTTGAGATAGCCAAATTGGGATCTCTGGCTTGCAATTACCAGTTTGGGCATGCATTCACAACATCAAGAAATACCTTAACTCGAAAACATTTAATTTCAAAGTTGCAGCATTTTGGATTCAGAGGGGCTAATGCATTTGAATGCCCCTCTGAATTTGTAACGCCATGACGTTATCTTTTTTTGCAAAAGACGAAATGTACTCCGGGTTTGGCAAATGAAATTACTTTTAAGCTAACTTTAACATCATAAGGGCAAAATATCCGTCCAAAAGAAGCATTTAGTAATTTCAATGGAGCTGCTCCATGATTGACACTTGTCGAGCTTGTGTCGAACTTTGAGCTTTCATAGCAACATTGCAGCAAAGCTATGTTTAGAGTTGATTGTTTTGTGTGTTCCGACGATTTTTGGAGCAAGTCAATTCAGTGGCCTCCGCATAACATGGGCTGACGCGAGGGGAAACTTTGCTTGACTACGAGCTACTGAAATCAATATCTGAGCTGATTTTGGATGGATCAAACTGTCTTTAGCACATGTGTTATGCCACTTAGGTGTTGGCTATCTTTTATTGACAAAGTTCTTCAGGCAAATGAAAGCGGCCAGCCAGTAGTTTGCTATTTATAGCAAAAGTTTGCAGGACTTTGATGCAATAAATCCTCTGATGTTAAATGTTTTGCCAGTTTGTGTAGGTCCGCGGTTAATCTGGCTTAGTCTCCTATCGTGGTGCAACTTCAAAACAGCCCATTGCTCTTCACATATCACCACACCTCAGTGCACATTGAACAATAAAGGGCTTCTTGCATGGGCTATCCACTCTTGAGTCTTTTCAAGTCCTTGTTTATCCCAAGGATCAAGTAGTTCAACTCATCATCAATGAGCAGAACAATGCAGTCACAGTTCTACCTTCAGAAACACTGCTTGATACGCTATGAATAGAAGCCAATCCAAGTGTTTATTCGGCTGACTTCTGTTCACTTTGTGACAGATTCAGTATCAGTATCTAAACGTTGAGTCTTGATTGTCGTTGAACCAGCTATGTGCTAACTGCTAGCCCTAGCAGCCCTGGACTCAGCCCCTTGACCAGCGTTGAGACATTGAGGTTGCCCATCAGCAGTGCTGGATGGTAATCAAGCATCAGCCCCTTCAGTGCTGTGGCTGACCTTTCGGATCGTTGGGAGATCCGTCAGCTCACGCTTCCGACCAGCGCGGAGGCAGTCCCTCTAGGCGATGTCCTAGCGCAGCCGCATGCAGTTAGGGCCTGCATGGAAGCAGACCCTTACTGCAGACTCTAAACCATGGAAAGAACATTCAATGTGACCAATTATCATCAGCAGCTCCAGGTGGAATGTCAGTCAGCACTGTAAAGAGAGTGCTGGTCCGAGCTGAAAACAGCGCTGGGCGTTTGGAAGCGGTCGGCACTGCCCAGCGCTGCTGTGACCAGCGCTGGTCGCGGTGGTCAGCTCTGCCACCAGCGCTGGCCACCAGCGTCCCTGCGGCTGACCCTCAGCAGCCGGCACCACATCATTAGCACGAAAATCCGGCCAAACGCTCGCTCCTATCTCCGACATGATAAGCCTGACAGCGACTAAAAGCTTTTCCATCCCGGTAGCAGGAGCGCCAGGTTCTGCCGCCGGCGAGACGGAGCCTCCGCTAGCAGCCTCAACGTGGGCATCTTTGGGATAGGTCAGGTCGTGTCAGGTCAAACAGGTCATGCCAAGGCCAGGCTAAAATTAGTTCAAGTAAACACATGCACTGATTAGCGAAAGACGCTTGGCTCCTGCTTACCGTGAGCTCCGGTGTGGTCGCCCATTGCGAGGGGCGGACGGTGGCGGCCTGTCGTCCAGTCTGGTTGCTGGATCTGGTTGCTGGTTGACGGATGACGCCCACGGTTTGGTGGCTGGTCCCAGTTGCTGGCTGCCGACCGTTGGTGGTTGACCAGCGATGGGCTTTGGTTGCTTACCAATGATGGATGGCTGCTGCCCAGTGGTTGCTGGTCGCAGTCCAATGGTTGCTGGCTGATGTCCAATGGTTGCCGGTGGTTTGTCACCACCAGCCGCAGCAGGTCACTGGCCGGGCTCTAATCACGTGACCGCGGGTTCTGCCGATCTCTGGGCACTGATCACTGGTGCGGTGCTGGTTGCTGGTGGTGGCCGCTGGTTGCTGGTGGCCGGTGGCTGGTGGCTGGTGCCGCTCCGCCCGCCGGCCGGCGCCGCTCTGACAGGGCGCCGCCATTTCCCGGCCCGCTGGCCCCGCCCCCTGTCACGTGACCGTCGCGCTCCGCCCGCCGTCTGGCCAGCATTGATTGGAGACGCCGGCTCGGCGGCGGCGGCGGCGGAACGCCTTCGTCCGCCGGGACCCGGAGACGAGCCAGCGCCCGCGGGCAGAGGCGCTGAGGAAATACACTCCGGCACGGGTCCACGTGGCCCGGAGGCCGACATTGTCACGCCAACTCCCAGATCGATGTTCGATATAGAGCGTATCGTGCTCCATCGGAGCGTGTTTGTGTGCTATTTTCGTAGTTTACCGAATTATCACCAAGTTTAATCCGAAAACGAAGCATAATTGTTAGAATTTGAATTGCACTTTGGATCATGAACTTGAACTAGATTCTCACTTTAAGTGTAGGTAAGTGCTTTTGGAGAATTTTGAACATTTTCGTTGTCTCTCTTTTTTAGGGCATCATATAAACTCGATTTTTTCTCAGTTTAGTCCCAGCTCAAGCGTGTCCCTAAAATGTGCGTGGCTTAATCAGCTATGATATATCTACGGAAATGAGATGCCAAACAAGAACAACAACAGCAACGAAACATCGGTGTGAAATATCGGTACAGTAACTAAATGCCTGTTCAATCAAATTTGAAGCCATCGTTTCCTTACTGCCGATCGATCGAGACATGTTCTCAGGCTCACTTGCAAAGAAACTCTGAAAGAGATAGTTTCGAAAGAGGGGAAAATTGGGTGCACGTATGGGGCAACAGATCACACGAGCTATTTGGAAATTATTGGCACTTCCAGAAAGGTGGTTGGAGACTCAGGAAGAGGGCAATGCTCATAAAAAAACGTTCCCAAGTTTCCATAGCTTCTCGGTTGCTCCTTTCTTATGCCTATGCTCATGCGGATGGACAATTAGGGTTTTTAGGGAGTGCTCGAGCACCCCTAAATGTGCTTTTCCCCTGATATGTGCTTTTCCCCTTAATATGTGTTTTTCAATGTAAAAATTATACGCTTCCATTCGCCAGGTGCTGAAAAGCACCCCCTGGGAGTATAACAATTATCCGCCCCTGTTCATGCTGGTATGCACCGTAAAGTAAGCAAATTACAACAGAAGTTATTTGCTTTGTTTCCATTCTAGGAACACTACGTACTTTCACGAACTTCCGGCGCTGTTGGAGAGGCGACTGCCCAAAATGTGTTCCTCGGTTCCGTCAATGGTGAAAATACAACACAAAACCGAAGGAAAAGATATGTAGTGGGAAGAGACACGGAGAGGGAGCTCGTCATATCACTTGTCAGTCTAAATCTTAGCTACAAGGACGCGCTGGAAAAGGGACACAATTCACCGAATTCCCAACCTTAATTTCCACAACTATTTTTCGTCTTTTTGGACTTCACGCCAGCAACTAGCTGTGTTTTTGGATTCCGTTTTAGAGCAGTGAATTCTATCTGGCTAGGCATTACATTGAAATATTCTACAAATTTCTCTCGTCAATATCAAATACTCACAATCGTTACCTTCACCAATGAAGCTCGCATTGTGTAGATCACGGCCATTCTTGAACGACAATTATCTATGGTTCAGTATTTTGTTTTAGCTGCTTCGGATAATAAACAGCTTCACTCTGCAGGCCCGATGGATGACCGTTTATAACAAAAATATGCTAAGAGTGTTAAGGCGTTTTGTCATGAGGTGTTCTCACTTCTCAGGGGATAGGTGCTGGTCAATTCAGCAGTCGCTGTGGCTCTTAGAACAGCTGCTTGTTGGACAGTCGCTGCTCCCGAACAGCTGATCGGTCGGGGCAGTCACCGATGACCGATGACAGGGTCTATTTGACGCGATCTGCGGCTCGAGCCCACGCTCGCCGGCGGCGGTCGCTGCCGACCTGTTGTTTATTGTTTGTTGGTGCTGGCACGAGTCCAGAGGAAACACGGTGTGCTGTGTGGTCCTGGACGGCCGCCCGGTCTCACAGCCACTGCCGACAGGGACAGAACTGATGAGACGCGCAGCATGGCTTGAAACACGGCTTACCAACGTCAGGAGGCCTAGCTCAACGTTGCACGCCTAGCTGGCGGAAGCAGCTCTTCCCTGGTTTCCGCAATCCGCATGTCATGTATGTATGTGCTGGCTGTTTGTGTTGATCCTCTTGCCTCACAAATATTCTGTATTTTCTACTGCATAAGTAGCCTGACACTATGCGCCCATATGCTTCCAAGTTCCCAAAAGATTTTGCGTTTTCCTGTGAGAAAGAGACTCACTAATAAGGTTTAAAAATGCTGCACTTTGAGCTTACTTGGTGGAATTGTGGAATTACCTAGATGATCTACAATGTTGACCATTGGTTCAACCTTCTCTGGAAGGATCCAGTTATTGCCGATTCTGAAATGTTTGTTAGTGCGTGCTTTCCAGACATCCATGATCGGAAAACGTACTTTTTTTAGCATTCTCCTTGCAATTTATGATTATAGTCCGCTTTTTTCCAAAGTGGTTTGGCTCCAAGTACATTTTCTGACATGTGGTAATCGACATTGTAACCCGATTACGACACGCTGACGAAATTTTGTGTAAAAAACAATTCGGAAGCTCCTACCAGAACGATTTCTTGTGGATTGACCCTCGCCCGCACATGGGAGGAGGGGGGATGGTTGCCACCCCCAGGTAGTTTTTCTGCTCTGTACTAAACATTTTTAAAGCTAGAAGCCTAATTTTTCGTATATCTGCTTTTCTATCCATTCTCAGCGTCCACTGAAAATTTCAAGTTTCTGTAATTTTGGGTTTCGGAGATATGACCTTGTTCTTCAGGTCATGTCATGACCTAAATGATCAATACCCAACATCTTGCGTTGGCTGTGAGTCTTGTGAGCTTCTGACACCTTAGCCCTGTTCGGGCAGCGCATCCTACTGCAAAATTTTGCACCACGCATGCGCAGAAGGGGTCTCTCGGGTGCCAGGCTCCGCCCTACGGCGTATGACGTCACATGTGTGACGTCGGCACGCGCAAAATCTTTCAGTTTTGCGCAACAAGAAAATAGTAGCTGCAGGAGGCGAAAGTGGCGCGGATTAAAGTTTACCCTCATATATTTCTTATTGTAAGTGGTTAGTATGGTGTTGTTTTGGTATCATTATCTTTCTTTTCAGTGGCACATTGCTATTAACCACATTTGAACGCATTTTACTTAGTAACTGAACGAAACACACCAGTCCATCCGCGCCACGGTTCGCCGCGTGTCGCGTGGCCCTCGGCTTTGCGAACCGGCGGAGAGGGGGCGGAGCATGGGCGGAGCTAGGCGGCTGACATCATCGCATGTGTGACTTCACACTCAGCAAAATATTTTGCGCGGACCCGAACAGGGCTCTTGATTTCGTTTTTTTTTTTGCTAGTATTACGGATCACCTACTACATATCATAGAAAATGTTATTCGACGATGTACAGATGTCAGGTTCAAGGTCAAGGCCAGCCTATGTCATATAAAAACATTGCATTTTAGTCTAGCTTAATTTACTTTTCCTGTATGTTTGATGCAGTCTTGCAATGCAATCCAGCCATCCAAGAAACTTTGCGCGAGACGTTTTCTTGGATGGTTTTCTTGGATAGCTTGATTTCATCAAGGGCTTCTGTTTTAAAGAAAATTTGTAAGCTTTGCTGAACTGTTAAGTAATTAGAACTGCCAGTATTTCAGTATTTAACATGTAGTTAATGTTACTGTATTTTATTTATGCATATTTCGGCCTTTTTAAGCAAATAACGAACGATATAAAGAAACATACAGGAAATAAAATCTAGGACTCTACCGCGACGAAATATTTCTATCTCGAGTTTTCAAAGAATTTCATGCACTCGGCCAAGGCCTCGTGCATGAAATCCTTTGAAAACTCTCGATAGAAATATTTCGTTTTCGCGGTATCGTCCAAGAATGTATATTCATGACGTTTTTTACAGCATTTTTGGTAAACACTTCTCAGTTCATGATCCCATGTATGTAATAGGGACACACAAACCAATCGGTGCACGCATCAGTATTCACACAGACACACACAGACATATAAACACAAATAATCGACCTTGACCTAACTTGACCTGAAATGACCACAGCTAGTGGAAACCTAGTCGGATAGTGTGACAAAGAGCTGTTCTAGCTGGCTTGGCACCACAAACGGCATGCAGCGTCATCGGTAGGTATATGATGGTCACAGGGACGTGATATTCCAACGGTGGCCCCAAACAGCAACATTTTTTAGTTTGAGCTGACCTGGAAGGTCAATGATTGACCTAATGAGGTTAAATTGGGCACCATTGGATTTGTCTCCTCCCAAAGAATCTATTGGTATTTGCTGCGAAGCTCTATCTCCAGCAGGAACGAAATGGCGTGGGGGGTGGCAGCCCCCCCCCCCCCGCCCATGCGCGTTCTAGGATGGGAAAATGGCATGTGCGGGCGAGGGTTAAAGATATAATTTACTTGTCACAACAATGCAATGTAATGTGTAACTACCCTGTAGAGAACCGCTTACTCGATTTTGACCTCGGAAACAGTGAAAAAAAAACAGCAACAAAGTTCTCCTAAATTTGTCGACACTTCATGCCATCGCAAGGAAATTTGGTGCCAGCTGCCGCGAATGACGTCATCATAGTGTGCTCATTTTTCAAGACACCATTTCCATGCATGTACCGAGCACAATTTTAACCTGCGCCCCGTAGGGGGGGGGGCCGAAACGTCCCCCCCCCCGTCCTTTTCCGTCGATATCTCCTAAACTGCTTGAAATATCGCCACCAAACTTTCAGGACCCCTCCGGGCATCAATTTTACACATTATGAAAAAAAATTCCAGAGGCTATGATAGGTTGGCCACAAATGACGTCAGAATGACGTCATGTTCTGTCATTTTCGACCGAAAAAAGACCTTCGCGAGAAGACCTGTCAGGCCTACAGCTTTGAAGATACAGAAAAATGGTCAGGACATAAAAGGTGTAAAATTGACAGAGCTACAGAACTGCTATCTCGGATT